GGGCTTCAGGTTTCTTATCTACAATAAGGAGGTAAAACTGGATGATCTCTATTTCCCTTGAGTTTTAATAATCCATAATTTCTTTTTGCCATCTAAGGAACTGAGATTTGGAATAAATAAAATCCCTAGCATAAACATATGTTCTCTCTACAGCAATCTTTGACTTCAATATAATAGGGAATGGAAGGATAATAAGGATGAATGTAATTAAGTGGCTTCATAAAAATCGAATTGACAATATGGACCATTTTAGCATAACAGCTCCAGTATGTCAGTGAATTAGGAGTGTTAACCTCCATCTTTGTTAGATTGATTTCTGATATCTGTATAACCCACAGAGCTGAAAGATACTGATTTTTTTTTTTTTTGTACAAGGGATTGAACTCAGGGGCACCTAGCCACTGAGCCACATCCCCAGCCCTTTTTTTATATTTTATTTAGACACAGGGTCTCACTGAGTTGCTTATGGTCTTGCTAATTGCTGAGGCTGGCTCTGCACTCATGATCTTCCTGCTTCTGCCTCCTGAGCCACTGGGATTACAGGCATGCACCACTGGGACTAGCCAGACTCACTCACTCACTCTTTCTTTCTTTCTTTCTTTCTTTCTTTCTTTCTCTCTCTTTCTTTATTTTCTTTCTTTCTTTCTTTCTCTCTCTTTCTTTCTTTTTGTAAAAGTGAATTAAAATTTATTTTGTAAAATATATATTGAGATACTTTAAGATACTCCAGGATGTTGCAGAATTCATCTTTTAGGAATCAGTGTGATACATGTTTGGCTTAAAGATTGTTTCTTTTGAAGTACATATATACTACTGTGCTTCAATTATTACAAGAAGAGGTCTTCTCACCTTCACCACCAAGACCTCTATAATAGTCTCTATGAACCCCAGATTGTAAATAATTTTGATGAGTATATTGTATTTATTAAGTAATTGTTTATTTCTTATACTTCAATAAGCAAAAAAAAATGCATATAACTGTGCTGGGGCTATAGCTCAATGGAAGAGTGCTTGCCTAGCACATGTGAGGCACTGGGCTCTATTCTCAGCACCATGTAAAAATAAATAAAATAAAGGTATTGTGTCCATCTACAGCTAATTTTTTAAAAATGCATATAACTTAACTATTGCCTAGAGCCTTCTGGCCACCATGCAATATCTAACATAATCATTAGTTAATATAATTCCAGCTAAAATAACATGTATATGATATTTGAATTAGTTGCATTCAGATGAATGTTGAATTTCTGTTATGAATTTTGAGATATCAAATATCTTGAAAACTTCCAGGCACTTAAAGAGCTTCCTAGTCATCCACAGACTACCATCAATCAAATAATAACTATCATTATGACTAATATTTACTGGACAAATAGTATAGGTCAGGAATGTTTACATTTTAAGCACTGTAGACATTTAATCCTCCTTCAATCTTGAGTCATAGTGAGATTAAATTATTTACTCAGTGTCATACAACTAGGAAGTAGTTGAATGTGAACCAAGAGAGGTTAGGATGAAAAGGAATAAGGGATACTGATCTCAGCCCAGTGATAGGCAATGAAAGTGCTTCAATAAATGAGTCTTAAAATTTTTTGACATCTGTTGAAGGAGAGATTTGCACTTACACCACTGAATCTTAGATTGTTAGAATATAGAAATACAGTAGACTTGGGGTGCAAAGAACTATTAGGCATGCTGAGATGGAGCTAGGGATAAGGCACTAAATTTCACTGTGCAGATTATACTTGAGTATGTGCATTTTAGTTGAGGGTTCTACAAAGGCTGGAAGTTGGGTAAACCAATCATTTACTAATCAGAGCAATGAATTCCAACCAACTAGCAACATGTTTGTTTTTGGGGTGGTAAATAGGATGGAGAGTATATCACTATTTTAATACTGGGAACAAGGGTGAGGGGAAAGGGGAAAATGGCTCCCACTAAATAATTATGTATACACAGACAGGTGGGGGAAGGGAAAATGAGGGGGGAAGTTCATTTTTAGTTAATAACTGATGATCTAGAGTTTCAGGGTCTGTAAACCTCTGTGAATTAGGAATTTTTGGCAATTCTATACCACTGAATGTCGTAAAATCCAGGATATTAGGATTCCAGGGTTAGACTCCAACAATTTTAAGACAATAAAATGCTGAAGGAATTAGGGGACAGAAACCCCAAAGGATTTGCAAGGTAAAGCTCAAGAGATGTTAAACACTAATCTCCCTTTCACTCCAAGTCAATCACAGTTTTAGGTCCTAGTACAGTGAAATGGACTTGAGGTTGGAGAAATGCTGGTAGAGGATAAGGGAAGATGCCTTGGCTGGCATTTTGGGCCTTCCTCCCCAGATTTAGCTGGACCAGCTCCCATTTTAATTGTTTTATATTGAGGGTTCCTGCATGTGGTTTCATTTGATAACAGTATTCCAAGCTTAAAAGAAAAAAGACAAAAACACTTCCCTAGGGAGAAAAAAACATGTGGAACCTCTACAAAGTGTTCCACTATATCACCCTTAACCTCTGTCCTTTGGAAAATAAAGACAGATGCTAGCAAGGATGTTTTGGCTGGGAGATTGGGAAGGGTCAACCAAGAACTCAGTGTACTAGGAAAGTAGTAACAGCAGTAAAATCAGATAATAATAACAGTTACCATATTAAGCATCAACTGTGATCCAGGCACAGGGCTAAATACTTACCTAGATTTTGCTGTTTGAGTCTCTGCACTCCTAAGAGATAGGTACTACTATTACCTGACTTTGCAAATATTATTACTCTTTTGCATCTGAAGAAGTTGTGAAAATGGCCTAAATATGTAAAGATATACAAATGAATTTAAAATTGTATTTTGCAATTCAGTATAAGAAGTTGCTCAGGGATTATTCCAGCTATAATATACACCAGGTTGAGATGATCTATCTATCTATTCCTTTGAACTTAGAACAGCTCTGAATTCAGAAGAAAAAAAAATCACCTTCTGGCCCTTAAAGTGAGGAATGTCTTATAAGCTTATTCCAAGAGGAAGTGTTTTTATGTAGACTTAAGTAGAAGAAATGTTTTCTTCAATGGAAAAAATTCTTATTGCAATCATATGCTTGCTCGAGGATATTTTTATTAATGTGTTAATTCAGCAGATATTTGTTGGGCACTAACTATGTGCTCTGAACCCAGAATCAGAAACACAAAATGGACAGAATAATTTATTTAATATAATCCTCAAACCTAAGAAATTTCTATAATTATCAATTCCAGGTTTAGTGGCCTCTATTTTGCGTGATTTTTCAGCTTAGTTGGAATAGATATTTAAAACTCATGCAGGATGTGGAGGGAAGTACAGTTGTTGGTTATAGATGATAGAATTAAAGAGCTTTAGGAACAAAGTAGCCCATTCCCTATACTTTACATGTGAGAGAGTCAGATGACCTTAATTATAAATTGTATAACCTTGGCCAGGTTACTTAACTTCTCTCAACCTTAGGTTCCTCATATATACCATGAAAATGATAGATTTTCCTTATATAGAAATAAGGTAAAGAATACATAAAATAAGCTACATGGGCTGGGGTTGTAACTCAAATGGTACAGCATTTGCCTAGCATGGATGAGGCACTGGATTAGATTTTTAGCACTGCATTTAAATAAATAAAGGTCCATCGACAACTAAAAAAATATTAAAAATAAGAGAAGTTATATGAAGTTTGTCACAGTGTCTTGTAGGCACACACACGATATGCTCAGTATATGTTTGCTGTTATTGTGATCACTATTTTTCATGTGAGAGGATTAAAACAGTAACAGGAAGTGCATTGTCCCAAGGTCATATAGGCTGTTGACAGTATGCCAAATATTAGAGCTCAGATCTCTACCAATAGTGAAATATTCCTTATACTACACTACCCATTTTTTCCTGGGACCAGGTAATATAAAATTCCTAGGCTTATGAGAAATATTTCGGCTCACCCAGGGAGAAGAAGAGAGAAGAAATACTAGGAAATACCAGACATAAGAAAAGAATGTCTGGACTCAGAAAACAAAACAACATAAGGGATAAATGAAGAGTAAAAGAGAAACAACAATTACCAGAGAGTTTAGATAGGAAAGTGGGAGCATTACAATGCCTAGTGGATCACAGGATTGATTTCAAACCTAATTCCTTTATTTACCACAGATGAAATTGACAGTATTTTTTTTTCCTTTTTATTGGGGGTGGAGGCGAAAGATGGTTCAAAATGCATGTGTGGTTCACAGAAAGTTATTGTGAATGTAACTTTATAATTTCTATTTTTAAGCATGGGAACACTGTAATTGATGTTAGAATAGAAGCCTGAATACTACCAGTCCTTAAGGAATGATGGAGTTTAAAAGGGTATTTGGCTAAAGCAATACTTCAGCTAACTAATGCCATAATAAAACCACATTATTCCTTTGTGTAGCTACAGTACTGGTACAGCACTGAGAGTGGTTGATTAGTTAGATGAACATATTCTTAAAAATTAGAAATATATTAAAAGAGCCACACTGTTCCTCTGCTGAAAGTGAAGGTTAATTTCTTTTTCCCTAAGCAAAAGGTGATGTTGCGTTTGCTAAACTAGATTTCAGTTTAAGCAGAGGCCCTCAATTTTCATTGTTGTACGAGTTGAGGAATATTTGGAATATTTAAGTAGTTTCCCATCATTGCATAGAGCATGGCCCAGAAACTGGTGCCAAAAAATCTTGACTGGAGTTCCTAGCCCACCACAAGGGATAGACAGTGAATGATTTAGGTGTAATTACTTTATACAGAGGTTGTTCCAATATTGTGCACTTAAAATTTTGTTAAAAGGGTAGATCTTGTGCTCAATGTCCTTACCATGATAATAATTTTTTAAAATATGCTCTTGTTTTACTTCATCCTTTAATCTTGACTTTGCTAATTTTCCTCTCCTGCAAATAACCAGTATTTTGTTGCAAGTGAAATACATTGGTAACACCTTTATTGCTTATTCATTTGATAAATTTCACCTTCACAGGGCATCGGGTACTGTTTATACAGCACTTGACATTGCAACAGGACAAGAGGTTAGTGCTAACATTTATTCCTGATTATTTTCCTTTATTCATATTTATTCCTTGTTAATGACATATCTTATGAAAAAATGTAGATAATTTACTCATGGATTTGTGGTACAGAGAAAGAGCTTAGTAAATAATTTGTATGCCTCATTCTGTGTTCCCAAAATATTGATGTTTGTGTTTATTGTGACAATTGTGATTTATTCTCATATTTTCATCATCATTCAGGTGGCCATAAAGCAGATGAACCTTCAACAACAACCCAAAAAAGAATTAATTATTAATGAAATTCTGGTTATGAGGGAAAATAAGAATCCCAATATTGTTAATTATTTAGATAGGTAAGTGTTTTCTCTCATTATGTACATGTTGTTCTTATGAGATGGCCTTTTCTTGGTAAATTATTTTATTGGGCTCTTATTAATTTAACAGTCAAATATTTCTCAAATGCTACAAAGTAGTAGAGTGTGAGATACATGGCTAACCTTGCACCCACTTATCTTTGACCGCCCATCAAACATGAAAGGTTTTATGGGTTTGGTTCTAAACATAAACAGTTTGTGTAATTTCTACTTGCGGATTGTGGCTCCACATTGGCAGGAAATAGAGAGCCATGGTGCTTTAAGCATTTCTTTTAGTGTTTGTTTGGAGTGGGTAAGATCTCTAGGAGGCTGAATGAAGAAAGGCTGACTACAATGGCCCTGCTTTAATGGGTGCTTTGTGAGGAACTGACAGTGAGGTCTAGGGAATTGAGACTTTAATCTTAAACCTTTTTCTAAACCAGGTAATTAATGTTTCTTTCATCAGTAGTATTAGCAGTGTTATAAATAGGCATTTAAAGACAGCACTAACTCTTCACTTGTGGTTAACATCTGTCTCTTTCAGTTTCAGTAAGTGTTTGTTTAGCACAATTCTGCGGTTCTGAGGGAATACAAAAGAAAAAGCTAGTTCTTCAACCTCCATGAGCTTAAGATCTTGCTGTCTGAGTTTTAGACCAGGTAGATCAATAATATTGGAAGGAGGAAAAAAGGAGGACGGAAATTGAGAGTCATGATCAGTGTTTCATAAAATGCCCTTGGGGACTCACTTGCAGCAAAGTGACCCTGTGCATTCGTAATTTTGTCAAAATTGTATTTGCACTTGTAGAAATGCAGGTTTCTGGGCTGCTTGCCATAACTCATGAAATGGACCCAGTGAATTTTCATTTTTAATAGACTCCCCAGTGCATCTTATGGACATTGTAGTTTAATTTCACAGTGATGTGGGCCTAAAGGCACATCAAGGGTCCTTCCATTCCTTATAAATCCTCGCTCTTGCTAAACAAGGAACCAGAGACCCAATGATACTACTTAAGTGTCTAAACATGGCCCCAAGTTGTTTTCTATAACTTCATGCTCTTTGCCTATATAGTAAGGCTCTGGTGACCTCTGTGCCCACATTTGGTCACTTTTTGTTCTTGAATAACTATAGATAATAGACATGGCTCCACTCACAACTGACTTCTCTCAGAACTGAGACTTGGTCACAAGTCAAAGTCTTTTTCTTTTCTTGTTATAGCTACTTAGTTGGTGATGAACTGTGGGTGGTCATGGAATACTTGGCTGGTGGTTCTTTGACTGATGTGGTCACAGAGACCTGTATGGATGAAGGACAGATAGCAGCTGTTTGCAGAGAGGTAAGAAAATAGAGCATTTCTTACCAAAGAGTACACCAAAATTAGTATTTATGCTTATTCAGAATGTTTATAACATCTAAGTAACAATAACAAAAGTTTTCTAATGAAAAAACAACTGGAGAGCCTGACTTCAATTTGAATCTTAACCTAGTAGCATTTATTTGCATCAGTCTCCCCAGCCCCTTGTTTATTTTAGTTGCTTTTTTTGATAATCTTTTGAGTTCCATTATGTAATCCTTGAGGTGCCATATTTAATCCTTGAGGTGCCATATTCATATCACTATAGTGAATATGCAAAATGGTGATGTTCACATGGAACTTATTCCTGATTTGGGGGAATTTTAACACAATATTTATTTTTTACTACATATAAAATATGACCACATGATATTCCGATCTTTTTCCAGAAGGCAAGTTAAACAAGGTTCTCCTTCAGCCCAGGGAGCAGTTGCTTTCATACTACAAGGTGGATATTCCCCATAGCCCTCCAGTGGGCCTGTGCATGTTTCTTTTCTAATAATGGTATATGTTCTTACTTCAAGCTAAATAAAGGATTTTTGTTATAATTATTTTTTCAATAATTTTAAAAACACACACTTTTCATTAGAGTCTCATGTTGGGCATTGTCCTCTATCTCATTCATTATGATGAAGTTTTCTACAAACAAAATAGGAATAATGATTCACTAAAACGTGGAAACAAATGATAGAAAAACAAAAATAAATGATATCAACTAATCTTTACATTTTGTGTTAAATTGTTTGCTTGAATTTCCTCCTTTGTTTTCTTCTTATTCTCATTTCTTGCACCCCAGACACCACAGATCCACTAAATGCATATGTTTTCTATTCATGCAATAAATCAAATTTATTGTCATTCAAGTCCTGAGCCTGTGGTTTCCATTTTTTGGTATTACAATACAAAAGCATCTCCAAACAAGTATCTATAGTTATTTTATAAACTAGGAGACCTTCCCAAACTTGGCTCTCCATCAGAAGTAGCTTAGAGCACATGTTTCAAATGCAGATTCTTGGGTACTACTCCAAACCTATTCAATCAAATGAAATCATATACACAAAGGCTTCCTACATCTGAAAAGACCAAGCTGAATCTATACCTTGCAGATAACTAGGCCAAAGGATGATTATATTGTGTGTTAGCTTTGCTGTATTCATGATTAGTGCTACTTATATCCTTACTCTTTCATGGCCTAGTCTGACATGGGAGCCATCAAACTTATACTGCTAAGTAACATCACTGATTTAGTGATAGTGTTATTTTAAAGTGGTGTTAAGGCATGCAGTAATCAATTTCATTTGACAACACAAAATTATATCCTTCCCCAATAATTTGTCTAGAAATGAAACTTAGAATTTAAAAAAAAATGTGATATAATTGGAACTTTTTTTCTGGTTCAATAGTGCCTCCAAGCTTTGGATTTCTTGCACTCAAACCAAGTGATCCATAGAGACATAAAGAGTGACAATATTCTCCTCGGGATGGATGGCTCTGTTAAATTGAGTAGGTATTTTGATTCAGATCATGTTTGAGAAAATATCAGGGAATTTCTGTTCTTTTACTACCTATCTTAAGAAGATAGAAGATAATGGCTGCTGAAATGATTTATTTGGAAGCATTGAGAACCCAATTTTAATTAATTTGTTTTATGCTGTGTTCCTGTAGATTGTGTCCAGAATTTTTGCATTTAATATTTCACATTTTCTAGTGTTTTTTGTTATGATTGGATGACAAGTACCTAATTTGAAAAGTGAAGGATACTGTAATTTGCAGGAAACAATAATGGACACTGAAATATATTAAAGCTTGGTAAAAATGACATCAATGATTATTTCTGACCCCCCCTAAAACCAGAACCAGCTGAGAAATTAAGTATCAAAAGGATGTGAGCTAGGCAGCTATGGAAGCTCAGTGTTTCACAGGAAGGTTCAACCATATCTGAAAGTATCCTATTGTAGAATGAAAGAGGGTGGGCTTATTTTAATTGATTTTTCTTCTCTACAGCTGATTTTGGGTTCTGTGCCCAGATCACTCCTGAGCAAAGTAAACGAAGCACCATGGTGGGAACTCCCTATTGGATGGCACCTGAGGTGGTGACTCGCAAAGCTTATGGTCCAAAAGTTGATATATGGTCTTTGGGAATTATGGCAATTGAAATGGTGGAAGGTGAACCCCCTTACCTTAATGAAAATCCACTCAGGGTAAGTGAGAGGAGAACTCGGGTAGTTCATCCCCAGGAAAGGGGAAAGGCCAGATATCATTTCTGGTTTTCACCAAAATTGACCAGAATGGGCTTTTTCCTGGGACAAATAACATAGAAGCAACAGGTTATAATTTTAAAATTACTGTGAGCTTTGTAAAGTTTTCTTACCATGCCTCAATGGTTTCCTAATGTGCTTTGAAGTCATTATATCTAAAGAAAAGGGTCACTGGGTTCAATCCTCAGCACTACATAAAAATAAATAAAGTTATAAAAAATTCTTTAGTATAGCTCTCTACTGTAAGAACAGTAGAAATGGAAAGAAGAGAAGATGTGAGAAGCAAAAGTATTTATCACATGACATGGTTAAATAATCTATCTAGGAAACACTTACTTTATAATGACTTTAACAAAGTTAATACATTTCCAAACAGCTATAATTTTAAACTGGATTTCCCTTCATTATCATTAATGATTTATTGAGCAACAACAACTTGGTGGGTACTGGAATGGAACACAGAGATAGACATAGCACCAGTCTGGTGAAATCACAAACGTCATTAGAAGACTGTCAAGTAGAATATGAATGGAAATAGTTGGGGTTGGGTAACTCAGTTTGCTACTGCAGAAATGGATATTTGATCCTCATGTGGCCCACTTACCTCTGCAAAGAAAAAAGTTCCATTTCATAGCCTAATCCCACCATCTTTATTCAGAAAGGTGCTGTTGATCATGAACGAAAAAGGCAAAGAAGTATAAAAGAAATGTCTGTCTTCTCAGTACAGAAGCAAACCAGTAGGTATTATATTGTATTTAGTATAACGGTGACCCAGAAGCTGTTTTATGTATATAAAGGTCATTATATTGTTGAAAAAAAAGGAAATATACACAGATTTGAAATTTACTTCCCAAAATCATTCATATGATTCTGCAATATGTATACTCAGAAAAATGAGAAATTATATCCTATCTATGTATGATATATCAAAGTGCATAAATGCCTTCTACGGTCAGGTATAACTAATTAAAACACATTTAAAAATTAAAAAAAAAACTCATTCATATCATCTGTGTCATTACCACTAAGAGTCTAAAATTGAATTTCATTTCTAGGTATTAAAAAAACCATTGCCCCTTAGTAAATAGTTAAATGTGCTCACATTAAGCTTACAAAAATCCACATTCAAACCAAATATATGTGCCTTTCTGTACATGCAAAGAAACCCACAAACTAATTGTCTAGTTGTTTTCACAGCTGAATATTTTGTAAATGGGAGCTATATTTCCTATTATGGAGAGGAGGACAGCCTCCTCCTTGGCCCCCTTCTAATTGCTCTCTGGTACTTGGCCTCTTGTCCTAGTCCCTACATTGACTGGAAAACAACAGATATGAGTGAATGCCCTAATGAATGCTGTGGGCTATTTCTCTGGTCTCATGAAATAATCTGGAAGTGAGATGTTCACATTGATTAGCTGCCTGCGGCGCTGAGTGGAAAAGAAGGGGCATTTTCCCACCATTTGTGGGTCAGCCCTCCATGAATTTAATCAAGTCCACCCCTGACCTATGGACCATCGCATCAGGATAATTACTTGGGCTTTTCCTTATTGTTTAACTACCTTTTCCCATTAAGAAATAGCAGTGAAAGAACACATCAGGCCTGTTGTTTCCATGGATTTCCTCCTCTAAGTCTGTGGAGTTTGGAGGCACTAAATGGATTATGGCTATTTTGCTTTCTGCCTTCTAATGAGTAATTTACAACCTGCAGAATTTAAGGATTAAAAAAATGGTTCTGTAAAGCAACTGGTCTCAGTAATGCATTTATTACCTTCTTCAGTTCCTCAATTATAATTGATCGCTCTTCAGCTAGGCTGCTAATTGTTAGAAAAAAGGAAACAAGTTTTAATCTTTATAGGCATCTTCTAGCTTCAGATTAGAACTCATAATTAACAGCTTGTCTTTTAGAATCCACAGCCTTATATCTAAACAAGTACTTGCAGGTTAACAAATCACAAGGTTTAGGAAAGCCTACATTAAGACTATGACAAAAAGACCTGTCAGAAAGACCACCCTGTTGAATTCCACTGATAAGAATTTACTTTAACTTTGCTCATTACTCTCCTTGTGTGATCAGGTTCCAATTAATTAATCAACATGTCCATACTGAGTCAGCCCTATTCTGAGCCTATCTCTCCAAGACACCAGGAGTACTTTTTAAGCTTTAATTTCAAAATATGCTATCCTCATGATCTCTTAAAAAAAAACAAACAAAAACATAATGTCTCAAGCTAGATGCCCTTATTTGGGATTTGAAAAACATAGTAATTGAAACCAGGGGGAGATTAAAAAGCAAAAAATATAACATGAGCCCATAGGGAGCCTACACTTCTTTGGATCCTGGTGACCAGGCCATGTGTGGTAAAACAGAAAATCATCTAGGATTTTAAGAGAGGAATGAAAAAGTGTTCTATTAGGTTTTTTTTCCTTTAAATTCCTTTCAGCACTATCACCTGTCCACTGATTTTAAGGCTTTGAGATGGAAAGAAGTGGAAGGAAAGATAAATTATTGAAAGAAAGAAGAGTGGTAGAATGGAGTGGCACATGCTTGTGAAAAATAATTGATTCACTAGACAGGAGTTGGGTGTGTCCCTTAAAGCCTTTCTAAATCTGTTTCCTTTCTATAAAATAGGGACAATAGCTATCTCATTGAGCTGGCATGAAAACGAAATGAATAATGTGTATAAATCAGCTAGCATGTAGTTCCCAAGAACTTTCCCTCTACACTGGCCACACCCCATCCCCTTAAGGACTGAAGGGTTCTGTACAGTTCAGTGTAATTCTCATGAACAGGCAACACTGAATAGGACAGGTTCAAAGTGAAGTTTGGGGTTTTACATTTCAAAGTCGTTTGCATCTCAAATGTGGCTTTCTTTGTGTCTTTCTTTTGTCAGTTTTAATTCAGCAAACTAAAACCCTGTATGAACATTGCCTGTTAACATATATTTGATGCAAGGAATTGGCTACTTTTTTACCCTGGTTACAAAGTGGTTGGGGTTTTTGCTCCATTCTAATTGACCTAATTTGCTCATAAAATACCTTTTAAAGGTCAGAGAGTTATTAACTGTACTGATGTTATGAGGTTGGTACCCTTCCAGAGACAGAGAGGAGACAAACTTCTTACCATCCCCCACTGCCTGAAGTCTTTGCACTCTACACAATTGGCCTTGGACATGTTGTTCTGTGGCCCATGGACATTTTTAATGTAGCTTCCAATAATAAAGTGCCTTGTTCCTTCTGTTTGACTGTGATTAAAAATCGAACTCACCCTGTGGATGTGCAAATCAAATGTTGCTGTTCTGATAATCTCAACTTTCTGTATATTGAGGATATATATTTTAAGACCTGTGATTATAATGACCTGATTTTAAATAAGGAGGCATGATCATTTGTATAAAACAAAAATTTGGTTTGTTTCATTTTTCAGCACAAAAAGAGTGCCTCTTTATTAACTTTGTATTCACACATAATGGGGCTGGAGGGTTCTGTACAGTTCAGTGTAATTTGATTTGATGGAATATCCCATTTTTAAATATCTCAGTGGTATCCACCAAATCATGCAACCCTTTGTATCTATAATTTTCTAAACCTTTATCAAAGTTTGAATGAACTTTAAGTATTTAATACCCTTGTATTAACCATTATGGAGCTGTATCAGGTAAGTATTTAATACCCTTTCATTAACCATTATGGTGCTATATCAAACCCTGGATCACTGGAAGACAGTTATTGGTATCAATGCTAAAACAATATCAGTATATGCAACAGAGATCCTAAATCAATGGTTCTTCTCTTTGATTGCACAATGGAATAATTTGTGAAGTTTTCAGAATCGATGACACCAGATTTCCACCCCCAAATGAAAATGGTAACCAGGACTAGGCCAAATACAAAGCTAGGCAGTAAGCCCTCTTAACACTGTCCACACTCAGAAATAATTCTTCTTCATGCCTCTTTGAGGGTGGATGTTCAACCAAGAAAGAGCACATTATTATTCTGCTCATATTTTTCCATTTTATATAAAAAATCATAAGCAATAAAAAATTATGAGCATTACTGTCAAAGCCTACTTGAAATCATGTTCTGCTCTGTGTCGTTCTAAGATTTTCCAATCCAATAATACTATCAAAAAAGAAATATCTCCATGATATACCATTTTCTTTTTCAATTTTGCTTTTTCTGAAGATGAAGTTTATCATTAAAATGTGCTAGCTGCTGGTGGAGTACCTAGCACATATCAGTGCATAATATAGCCATCAATCTGACTGCTCATGATTAAGAGTTCATTGCCTATATAAGTCCAGGGAGAGAGGAGGTCAGAAACCTAAATCCAGACCTGTTGTCTACACTAAGAGACTTCACACCTTTTTCCTTTCCCCACACTTAAAGCACTACACAAATATTAGTTGTTGTTGTTGCTGCTGTTGTTGTTGTTATTATTATTATTATTATTATTATTGGATCAGGGAAATCCTAGTTAGCTTGAATGTCTAGGAAAGAGGGTTAAGTAGATTAAAATAATCACTAGCTACTGAAAAATAGCAACTAAAAGGCCAAACTGCATCTAGTTTCCTCTAACCACTGGAACCTGTGCTGTGGATTGGAATGTCTGGATTTGATGGCGCATGCTCATTTGGAATTAAAGTCAGACATAAACTTCCTGAGCACCAGAGAAGCAAGCATACTTTGCTAGCACTCAGTCAATATTGTTTTGAATGTATTTCAGGAAGAGCTGGGAGCATTCCCTTCTTTTTCCATAAGCCACTAGGGAACAGCAAGGTTTATTGATGGGTTGTTGACACTCCTACTTTGAGGGCAAGCCTATGCCTAAAAGGAGGGGCCAGTTAGGATAACTACAACTAAAATAACTATAGAACAGTACAGGGCTTCTTTTTAATCATAAAAAAAATATTGCCTGTCAAAAGATCGACAGCTCTTAAGAATCA